GGCTCAAAACGCAGCGTTTCATTAAGTTCGACCCTCAGGCTTGTCACACGGCCAGGGTGCACGGCCGTGTGAGAATTCCAGTTTGCCCGTGCTCGGCCTCGGCAGAAATCACACGGCCAGGCTGCTCAATGACACGGCCGTGTGAAAATCACTTGTGCCCGTGCATGCTCTCGCACAATTTCACACGGCCTGGCTGGTCCTTTGCATGGCCGTGGGAGGCATCGGTCTGCCCGTGCAGCTTCCTTGACACCTCGCCACGCGTCCGATCTTCGTCCAATCGACCCCAGACTCGCTCCCAAGCCTCCATTCACGTACTAGGACCTGAAATATCACAAACAAGCACAACCTAGCGTGAAATCGGCCTAAAACACGAGAATCAACACCTCAAACGGTGTAAGAACGAGGGTAAAAACATGTGTAAATAACGGTCTATCAACTGCCTTTCGCATTGCAGAGCGTAAGGAGGAAGAGATTGTTGCATGGCGGAGTACCGTAGGGCGCTTCCAGAAGTCCATTGGAGGAGCTAGTTGAATCGCAGCTGGTGGCGATGGAGGAGGAGCGGGACCTTGAGCGAATCCGAAAGGGTTTATCAAATTATCTCCTACAGAGATTGAGCAGAAGAGGTGGGAAGAGAAGTGTTTCAATTGTGATGAGAGGTTCACCTTTGGTCATCAGTACGCTAAACCTAAACTAACGATGCTGGTGGGACGCTGGGAAGACGAGGTAGAGGAATGGGCGACCATGGAGAACGAGGAGCGGAAGGATGAGTTGGAGTAACCTTGAGGGCAAGGTTGTTTCAAAGTAGGGAGGGATGATAGAAACATAATTATTTGCTTGTTTTGTTATTTGGCATGATTTATCATTTATTCATATACTGAGAAGTTTATGGAATATTTGGGGGTTTTGGGAATAATTAGGGAGTTTCATTAAGCCGTATTAGTTGGGTAGAAAAAAGGTTGTTATCGGGGATATATATTCTGTAATTGGTGGGATCACTCATTCGGCAATTACAAAACAAATATTCAGCAAACCCTAATCTTCCTCCCTTCCTCTCCCTCTCTGTCGTGTCCTCTCTTTCTCTCGTGGTTGCTGCCGCAACATCCTTTCTCCTCCCTCTTCCTTCTAAATCAACCCCAACTTCCATTCTTTGGTCTAAAAGGAAAATCAAGCCCTCATTGATCCTCAAGTTCTCAATCCCTAAATAGAGCCAATTCTGCGATTCTATCAGATCATGATTTCACTATAAAATCTAAGAACCTTAAAATCCTATACTATTCACGATTAATCATTAAAATCTTACAATTTTAGGTTTTGATTTTACGATTCCGATTTTACCTCCATTTTTCGATTTTATGTAAAATCCAGATTTTAACTGCTATGTTTGGGGCAATTATATTCTTCACAACTGCCTCAATCGTGCCAGCCTATATGGGCTTCAAAATGTGAAAGAATATATTGAACTTGGAGAGCACAAAATATCTGATTTTTCTATGCAAGAAATTTTGTGATCGTTCTATTGGGATGGTTCTTCAATGGTGAAGTTGTATGTTAAAAAGGTATGACACACAATTAGGCTACATCAAGATAAGTTGAGATGGCAAAAGCTGCTTTGCCAACCTTTGGGTACTCCTAGAGATAGAGATATAACACTTGGTGGATTACTAATCTCATACACAACTTTTGTTGGTAACATCACAGTACGACAGTGATAAGATGCCTTAAAAAAGTTTGCTCCAAAAATATCAAAATAGCTGTCATTTGTAGAGCACAAAATAATTATTTTTTGTATGCAATAAATTGTGAATTCGGTGTAAAATGAATGAAATATGGTCTGTTAATATTCGTAAAAAATTTGAAAAATATTTTTCTGCACTTGAAAATCCGCATGAGCTCCAAAAAAATCAGTGAACTATCCCAAATACCCTAATTTCCCTTCCTACCTCCTTATAATGGGTATCATCATATAAACGGGGGTTTGCAATAGAACCTGAGTCTTAAATTAATCTGGCAAAAGTTATTATAATTTAGCAAAAAACAGTTTTGTTCCATTTCTACTAAAAATTAAAATAATTACTTCTTTAGCAAAACCTAGCCGGAGCACTTCCATATAACTGTATAATATTACTCAATTTATAATGATCATACCAAGCAGTCTCCATTCTCAATTATATTCTTGATACATGTGTTAGGGTTTACTTTTTATGCCCTAGGGAAGGACAAGGTTTCCTTTTGGTTGACCGGCTAACCTAGACCATCATCCCGCCAAATTTTAATCATTCTAGCTACACCTTACACCTACTAATTTCCTTCCCTTACGTCATTCGCTTTCACCAAACTAAGTTTATGATAATAGCATTTTGTATCTCTCTACTATTACAAATTAACCAATGTATTTTTCACTAAATATTTGCACACACATACTCTTCTAATCATACTTTATATCTTCAAATAATAGAATTATTATGTGACGCACTTAAATTGTATATTCAATTCTTTTATCGTAAATTGTATAGTCAGTTTGAGTTTCACTCAAATACATTAAAATAATGTTAATAGGAAACTATATGTATTGTTACACTCACATTTACATATCAAGCAATTGTTTGGTTTTGTATGAGTTAAATTGATATATTGTTGACAATGCATGTATAATATTGTATGTAGAATGTAGTTAAGGAAATTGTTGTATTGTGGTTTACATCATTTTTTATTGAAGTATCATTTTTACCCTTTGCTTTTAATATAAGAAAGCGCATGCATAAAAGTCATAAATATGATTAGAACAAAATTTCAACATTCTCAACCAAACTATCTCATTTAAAAAAATGAGATTTAACTATCCCTAATTTGAATGATAATTATATTTTTTGGGTATAAAATTAGAAAAAATGCATTGTGAATAGAGCTGTCAAATATAACCCGATCCGAGTAACCCTTCTACAACTCAGTTGAACTAAAAGTCAAACGAATCGCTACCCAATCGTCCCGTGATCCAACAGTCACGTAATTCAACTAACTCAATTTGAACCTGCCCACTTGACCTATATATATATAGTAATGACTGGTATACTCCACGAATTTGGGGATCTTGGTGCTAAAAAATGAAGAACAAATTATATGGAATGTGTTCTTTCAGTTTTATTAATTGTTCTGGTATTGACGTATGATAATACAAATCATATGAGGAGCTATAATAAATAATAAATAAATTATTCAGAAAAGCACATATTTTTTCTCGATGTGCCGATCATATCTACCCGCAACCCGTCTGGCCGCTATTTCGAATGACCCACAACCCGATGAACCCGTAACTCAACTAACCCGCAACTCGATGGACATGAAACCCTACGTACCCGCAACATACTTGAACCCAAACCCAAGCCCGGTTGAACCTGTCCGGTTGATACCTATAACCGTAAGTAATACAACCATTCTAACAATCTAAACAAAAAAAAAACCACTACTTCAGCTCGCAGGGCTTTCAAATAATTCACATCAGCACGTAGGGAAAAGTAAATATATTGAAGGAATGAAGAAGTAGAAAAGGGAAGAAAGGTTAGGGGGACAGAAACCAGCTATATGCATGCTAGCTAAAGCTAGCTAGTAGCTATAACCAATCTATTCTATATATCTTTTGACATAAAGCTGAAGATGGAATCTATCTTTTCTCCCCTCTCCCTCCCCACCTTCTTCCCCTTCCCATCCCAACAGACCAACCAACCAACCATCAACATGAGAGAATCAATTATTTTGTTGTTGCAGCAGCTCTGTTCTATGTCGTGTTTTGGAAACATTAAAAAAAAGATGGAAGAAAGACAGGTAGCTCTTCTTTCCTCAAAGGCCATGGCGCGCCCCTATACCTTTTTTCTGAAGACAGAATATCTCTCTCAGGCGCTACCCTACTGCCTTCCCTGTCATCTACATACATATCTCTAGATCTCATCTACATATGTATATCTCAATCTCACTTTCCCCTTAAAATAATCTGCAGGGGTGACCTTCGATAATTTTAAAAATGGAAGGGTATACCCTATAATCTAGAGGCATATGCCCATTTGCCACCCACCAGCTTTCCTTGATAAAACCAAATGATGCATCTGAAAAGCAGATTACCCCAACTAATAAAGCTTTTGATTTGTCCAATATATATTCTTCCGTGCAAGGCCCCCAACCCTAAAAAGTAATCAATGCTATGGCTAACCCAGATAAAATAACAATCTGATATAGTAAGTAAGTATATAATGAGTTACGAGACACGTGTATGTTCTTTAGTTAAAATAATAATTAAACCTAGTCGTTCATTTTCTCTTAAATAACGCTTAAATCATCAAGCCATAACGCTAGGGTGTGCAACGATTTAGTCCGTACTAGACTTTATTGACTGGACAAATACTGAATCGAATATAATGTGGTACGGTTCTTGCTCTCATGAATTTTACGGATATTGAAGAAAAATGAACAGAATTATCATTTGGATCGGACCAAATCCGTCCTTTTCTTTTACTTGAATCGCGGTTCTCATAAGGGTCGAACTGAGTCGTTGTATGCCCCTACATATAACCACTAATTCTTGGTAGGCCACCATTTCTAATGTCACTGAAGCTCGATTCCACGAGTACCCAACCCTACCTAACTTGAGTTGGGTTAAATTCTCTTATAAAACCTAATACGTATTTTACCTGGTAACTCGCTGAATTAAATTTGAGTTCAGAAAAATCCAACCTGACTCATTTCCATCCTATGCACAATATATAAACAAATTAACATATATTATATCCTTCCCAAGTCTTCCAAACACACCTCACACTTAATGAACCAAAACAAAGAAAAACAGATTTAACAGAGATAACCCATATACCAGCTGAATTACAAGAGCAACCCCTCTTGGCTTAAACACCCCCAATATAAAGATCAAATTAAAGAGAAATTTTTTGATTTAAATCCCATGGAAAAGAAAGAGAGAAATAAACTCCGGCCGCCGGAAGGTTCTTGATAATTAATTAGGGATAAGCGGTACCATTATTTGCGGTGGTGGGAAGATCCGACCATGAAGCAGCAGTAGTGGTGGTAGCAGTAGAAGATGTAAAAGCTGCCGGATTCCAGATGTAACCCGAGAACCCGCCACCTCCTCCTCCGGCCACCGTTGACGAAGATGAAGCAACCCCCGCCGACGAAAAGCAAGAAGAAGTAGAACCCACGTTATTATTCTCGTTGAAAACATCATAACCACTTGTACTAGTGGAAGCCTTCAGCCTTTGGTACACTTCCTGCATCCCTGTATTATTATTATTATGATGCGGTTCATCGCTGCCAACTAGGTAGCCGTTTCCATTGCTGTCGCCCGTCCACATTGGAATTGGAGGATAGTTATTAAGACCAAGCAAAGTGGCTTGCTGCTGGTGGTTGTTGACCGATGATGACGTGTCCCACCCGGCTAGGGTTCGAGGCGGCTCGAACATCTTCAAGTGGCTGGTTGTAGGAGAGGTACTAGTTGTCCCGAACAAGCTGCCGATGATACCATTTGGGTGCTCGTCCTTAACCGCTGAGGAAGCCGGTGGTGGTGTAGGGATGGAGCTAGGGTTAGGGTTAGGGTTAGGGTTTGGTGATGATCTCAACAAGGAGAGGAAGTGGTGGCCGTGGGAGTTGTTTTGTGGGGAAGCTGATCCCCATAGGATAGGGCTAGATGGGAGGTCTACTTGATGATGATGATGATGGAGATCGTACAAACTAGCACCGAAAAGTGACGGGGACGATGATGAGTTTCCAAACCCTACCGCCAGGCTCTTGAGCTTGTCGGTGGTGGTGGTACTAGGCTTTCCGAATGTTGAGACCACGGCGGAGGATGACGACGATGAGATCAAGCCGCTCGTGCTCTTGTTCTTCCTGCATCCTCCGCCGATGGGAACGTTCCTCAGGGCGCCACCTTTGGTCCAGTACCTGCGGCAGGTCTTGCAGAAGTGGCGAGGCTGGGTGAGGTTGTAGTTGTTGTAGTAGCAGAACTTGGTGTTGGACGAATCGCAACGAGGGCATCTCAGGTGCTCTCCAACTGCAGCCGATGACGACGAAGAAGGTGCGGATGAGTTGGTGAGAGACGACGGAGCGGTGCCTGTGGCAGGCAGAGCTCCAGCTGGGGTTGTGGAAGTGGTGGTGGTGGTGGTGGTGGGTGTAGTTGTTGCTGAAGAAGGGGATGGAGAAGAGTGATGGTTGTGAGAATAAGTATGAGGTGGTGTTGGTGTGGCATGTAGAACGGTTCCATTGGTGGTGATGGGATTAATCCTCCTTTCTCCACTAATTAGGCCACTCCCCAAGAGCTCTTGAATCATCTTCAATTCCCCCTCTATAGCTCCCACTCCTTTTCCTTTAACTCTTTGCCTTTTCCTTTATCTCTTTTGGGTGGTGATTTGCTTTGTGGATCTACAACAATCCAAAAACCTAGCAAAAGGGAAGAAAGGAGGGAGGAAGGGGAAGATGGGATTGGATCCAACCTTTTTCCTTTTAGTGGCAAATAAAAGCTAACAAGGGGAAGGAAACTAAAGGTGAGAGAGAGCTTAATTGCTAGATTTTTGTAGTAGTTGTTGTTTATGATGATGATGATGAAGATGGGTGGTATTGGAGGAGAGTATATGATATGATATGAGATGTGGGTGACTGATGAATTGGCTTTGTGGGTTTTGAGTTGAATGGAGGGTTTGAATCGGGCAGCTTTATCTTTATGGTGGGGGGATGAGTGTAAAGGAATAGAGAGAGAGAGAGAGAGAGGACAGAAACTTTAACATAGACATGCACAATGTGAAGGGCAGCTACCTTTAATCAAATCAGTGGTGTCATAATAGACTAAAAAAATGAAAGAAAGAAAGAAGGTGGGAGAAGAAAACACATGAAAACATTCCAAGTGGGGTCCTTGATTTGGAATTGTGTTGTGGAGGGTTCTATTCGTGCAATTTCCTTGTCTGCTGCTCTTGGGTGTATTGCATCTCAATGACAAACCTGTTATCCCTTGTGAGCGATCTTCATCATATACCTAGGGTTTTTACAATGCTAATGGAATTTTCCGTCATGCCAAGAATTAACTGACAAAACTAGATACATGCTGAAATTCATACTAACATGGCATGAAATGAAGGAATAGTCTTTTTCCCTACGATTTTTGAGAGACAGTATGTTGATGAAACTAGGATGATTAGCTAGTCCTTCATGATAATTATGTATGCTAGTGTAGTTATGAGTTCATGTTAGTAGTCCACAGTAGTCTCCGCACTTTAGGCATATAGGGTTTCCCATGGCTTAGCAATGAGTGTATAACCTTGCATAACCAGATATGAACGGTTAATTTTAAATGGGGTTGGATTTAATAGTTGAGAATAAATGACGTTTTTCCTTAATTCCTTAATTGGGTTTTATATTTTTCGTAATAATTTGTATTTCAAAATTTTCACAGAAGGAGCAAGTTCTTTGTCATATACAAATGATATCCATTTTCAATATATTTTTATGGAAAACAATTCATACCACTCGTTACCTCCCTGTACCACCTAATATAAACTTTGTTTTTTACTCGAATTTTGAAATTTTTTGCCCAAAATGAAGAATTCGTCGTGATCTATTAGATTTACAAATTTTAGGAAAAATAATTCAGGACAAAAAGTACCACCATGGCACAGGGTGGTAACTGGTTGGTATGATGACATGTGGTAAATGATAATTAATATATTTATTTTATCATGTAAGCAACCATTTTACACTTTACTGTGTTCATACCACCATGATATACTTCCATACCATGTCGCATAATTTTCTTCTTCCACGTATGATTTATTATTCTTACCCCACATTTTTCATCTTTCGATTAGGCACATTTCCCTTTCGCTTGGATTTACCTTAAAGGATTTTTTTTTTCTCCTCTCTTCTCCCACGTTTTTTTGCTATAGATTAGGCAAGTTGCCCTTTATCAATTCAAAGATGTCATATTGGTGTGCATATGTTTTATGGTTATACAGTGAATTCTCAAGTTCGAGATTCATGAATAATTACATGTTACTTATTTGCAGGTTTTACATGTCACTACTCATTAATTAGTGTATAGAATTTGCTATGAGTAGGAGAAATTGGTCTTTTGTATATCAAATGCTAAATAACGATAAAAATCAATATTGTTATATGGTATAAGCATATACCAAATACTAAATAAATAACGTCATATACAAACACTAAAAAGATGGTTCGGATTGCACATTAAATATTGGAAACTTTGTGCATATAAATAGTGGGTTATTATGTACTTATACTCAAGTATTATTAAATCACTCATAATTCAAAAAAAATCTATTTAGTTTTAATGTAATCATAAGTAGTACAACTGAGCATTTCATTCTTCCAAAATATTTCATCATGGGCGCATAAACACAAGTCAATAAGAATTAGCTGTTTATTAAAATAATATTTACAATTACTAAACTTATATTTCAATATTATTAGATTACTCATAATTCTCTAAATCTGAATTTAGTTTCACTAAAATTAGTCATCAGTACAACTACGCAATTCATTCTTCTAAGGGGTTGTTTGGATGATGAATTTTACTTATGAGGGATTGTGGTTCAAATTCCTAATTAAAAAATCCAAATATTTTGAATTGGGATTTTTCATAACCGGAGCGTTCAATTAGTAAGATATTGTCCGCTTTGGGCCAAGCCCGCACGGTTTTTCTACTGAGTGTCCTCCCCAAAACGTCTCGTACTAATTGGTCTAGGTGGAAACTAATATACAAGGGTTCCCTCCCTTGTATTTCCAATGTGGTACTTGGATTGTCCCATAACAATCCTTCCCTCAAGACAATGACCACGAACTTTGTGTCCTCTCCTCAGCGATTATCTTGATCCACCAGACAACTTGTATCCATGGGCTTCTCGGTACAAGGATTTTCCAAACGCATGATTCTCTTTGATCTCCTTCCCAGATGCGGACCTCACTTGATCCGCCAAACAAACGCATATCTCAAATCACTAGCTTATACCCGACCCGTTGGTCAGAGGAGCTGAGCCGAATATTGAATTATTGGGATAACCCGTAGATTCAACTGCATTAAGCTAAATGGGCCTAATGGTGAGTACCGCCTAGCATTATCCCTAATAAAATTTTGCATACCAATGATAATTCCTCTCTTCTTCTCGGTGGCTTCTTCTATAATATGAGATTGCGGCTACCTATACCAACATGTTCTATATGAATATAAAATGGTATTTTTTATAAACCGTTTCTGCCTTACCCATTTTTGCATCGCAACGGCAAGAGCTAAGAAAAGGCCCATCCTCCACCGAAAGAAAGCCTATCCTGCCTTCCAAGTCATTTCGATGAAGCGGATCAGCAGAGAAATGCCTAGATCGAAACTGAACATAAACGAAAATAATAAGTAGAAACTGAAAGTCGCAACAGTATGTATTCAATATATTGTCAAATATAATCTGGCATTTAGAAAAGGCCTCTATGTATCCGTTCATGGCATCTAAAACAAAAGAAACCTCAACTTAAGATGTTTAGAGTAAAAGAGAGAGGTACTGCAGACAATACCAATAGGAAATATAAAATTCATGAACTAAGTCCAACGACCATCCCTAATGTAAATAATAAAACCGTATATTTAAATTACTAAGAGTTCTTTCTCTAATCACTCCCCATCTGACATTAGAGGGTTTTATCTTATAGCTCTTGAACACTGACGGGTTCTTTGGTTGTGTAGTATTGGTTGCTTCATGCTCACTACTGATTCCGTTGGCAGTAGATTGGGATGACGAACTTCCATTGTGAAGTGTAGAAAGAGGCTGCTGCAAATTCGAAAGACTGATTAACATGAATATATAATATATTATTCAATCAATTTCAGCAAAAAGCAAACAGAAATGAGTTATCCAACTATCAATTTCATGGCTGCTGCAAATTAGTTTTTGTTAACTTCATGGATGGATCTAATTAGTTGACATACAGATCTTCAAAAAGAGCTGCAAGTGAAGCTGCAAGTTTAAACCCTTTCACGGGTGAGACTTAAAGCTTTGAGAATTATTATTTAATCATTATTAGCATATTCATCATTGGCGAAATAGAATAATCATGAGGATATATATAATCACTATTATCAATTAATAGTACTCAAAGGAAAGACTTGGATCCCAGTTAATTATATTATTGAATAACTATAATCATGTTGACAATTAGGGAAATAGATCCATCCATCAAGTTTTTTTATAGGTAAAGGGATTTGGTGGTTTGCATTCCATGTAAAACAACAACTATTCCAATTGGAGTTCAGTGATTCAGTTAATTGTCGAAAGACTGAATTAACCAACAACATAAAGTAATGGTTCAGTTAAGCTTAGTGACTAACCTGGGCAGTAGCAGTAGATTCAATGCTTATCTTGTTCTATTGAAGGTTCATCAATTTATAGCATGCTAAATTCATGCGACGAAATCTTGATATTGAATTCGGTTAGCATTATCTGGAATTGTAACTGCAGATGTTGTATTTTGAGAAGAGCAGCAGGTACAACAGTGGGGTCCTTTTACTCATAGGCAAATAGTGTCTGAGCTGAGATTCCAAAAAACATCTTCCTTTCCTTGTCCATGAGAACAGATTGGGCCTCACCAGAGACTGTAGGTTGTATTCTAAATCTGTTGTAAGAATAAACAAAACATGTTGGTTAGATTCCAAGTGATAGATGGAGGAAATAGTAAATTGTAATTGTGTAGGTAGTACTCGGCCTTTTTAACAGAGTGGTTCATTGTTAATCAACACTTCTTACTGTAAAATTTATTTGCTTAAGCTTCTACTTTGAACAGGCATTTCTCACACTCATCATAATACCATTCACTGAGTACTTGATTTCTGTGCAATTAACAACAATGATCTGATTCTGGAAGCAATGATCTGAGTACTTGGTTCACCCAGCCCTTACTCAGCAGATAAAATAAACCGTAATCATACAGTATTTCTGTATCAAATCCTTGGTTTCTACAATAAAATGAGCATATAAGCGTAATCATACAATCATTTACCTTGAAAAGTTGGTCCCCCAATTCCATATGAGTACATACCTCCAGTAAGGCCCGGATTGCAAGCTTGATGGTTTCTTGACCAGAAGTTTCTTTATAATTCTTCTCCAGAAACTCCCTGATGGAGTTGGAGTTCCTCCAAGTTGCATTTGCTTTCCAAGCTGAAAAAGTGCCAGAAGGATCTGTCCGATAAAGTGAGGGCACCCCAGTGTATGGATCAAACCCTATGATTAAGGTCGAAAGCCCAAATGGCCTGACACCGCCGCTTTGTGTGTACTTTTGCTGAAGTCCAGCAATGTAACGGGTGATATACTCAACAGTGACAGGATCCTCCACTGTTAGCCTATGGCTTTGACATTCAATTCTGGCCCTGTTGATTAGCACTCGAGCATCTGCCTTAAGGCCAGCACATGCCAAAGCAATATGATTATCGAGGTTGACGATTTTCCTCACTGATCTGCAAGATTGTAGCAGCGAAAAGATAAGAAAGAGCAAGCAATAAACGTTTATGGAGTGAAGCAAGATAACAATCGTTCATACGCAGCATTTCAGAAATCGGCAATTTCGTTTCCCCGTCATCCGCAACCTATTAAAGCAAACACAATACTACCATTGATTTCTATATCACTGACAGCTCAAATCTTATCAACAGCGAGTAACTGCTACAGGCTACGAAAAAACCCTAACATATTGCTACTAAAAAGGTGAAATTAGAGAAAAAGGGGATCGGAAGAGGCAGAAGAAGGATAAAGAACCTGGAGTCCTGAAGCTTGGCGGCGGATTTCTTCTCGACGCCGAGGACGACGAAGTCGGTGCCACGGACGCCAACGGCCGCGTTTCCCTTGCGGACGGCCTCCAGTGCGTATTCGACCTGGAAGAGATGGCCATCGGGCGAAAAGACGGTAATAGCTCCTCGACCCACCAACGCGGTAACAACACAGGTTATACGAACGGTGGGGAAAGGGAGCCTCCGTAGTCGGTTGCAGGACAACTATCCCAAGCCGAAAACGGAAACCCAAAATGCTCCTCGACACACTGACACGGCAACTACACAAGCTATACGAACGACGGGGAAAGGGAAACTGCTCGCGCCTCCATCGTCGGTTGCAGGACAGCTATCCCAAGCGGGAAACTGAAACCAAGAAAACAGAGACGGCAGCAAGCAAAGTGAATGACGCCCAATTTTCTCAGTTGGGGTTTCTTCACACGCCTGGAACTGTTTTTTCGTTCCTGGGCCTAAATAATCAGTCGGCCCGTTCAACGTTTCCATAGAAGCAGAGTGCAATTTTCTATTTCCATAAGTACCCCTCCGAGAAACGCTCTGGAGGCAGCAAATTCAAAATGGGGGTTCAGTTTTAGGCTTCAACGTATTATAAATAGGGTAGATGAGATTACCGAATGAGAGGGTCCCACCAAACTGAGGTCCACCTTCTCGGATCTGCCAAACCAGGTGTAGCCTAAACGCGATACATATCGCCAAACTCAAACGCAATGCAAATCGCCATACGCAGATGAATTCAAAATCGCAGACGTAACAAACTCTCCAAATCTCCAAATGTGACAGAATCTCCGCTGCCTCCAAATGCCCCTGAGGGCGGTCAACAAATCAAATCATTCGGCAAGTCCAACCCATGTGGAGACTTGTCATTCAGAACCAACTTGGTGCACTTATCACCAACAAAACATGTCAAAACAGAACATGTAGACTATACAAGGCACCAACCTTAACACCTTTGTAGACAGACAACACTCCACTTCACTTTTGAAACTGAAATCCTTGCCGTCAAGTAGACTCAAATATATCATATTCGTAGTCATCTCTGAAATATGTCTAACATTGTTCAAGGTGCAAACAGAACCATTATGTGTCCTCACCTTGATGAAGCATTTTCCAACAATCTTGAAGATAACACCATTGGTCATCAATACATGTCCTCCATCTATCTGCTCATAAGTTGAAAAATACTCTCTGCTTGGACACATATGATAATCAGCTATAGTATCTAAATACCACACATCCTGATGATGTACCTATTCATTCACTGCTAAGGCTAAATCATCTTCAGAATCAGAGTTAGTGTCTTCTTCCACAACATCAGTTGATTCCTTCTTCTCCTGATATTTCTTTAGCTTAGGGCAATCAAATTTCCAATGTCCTTTCTACTTACAGTAATGACATATATTATCCTTCAAACCAACAAAATTCGAATTTATATTCGTCTTCCTATTTCCAGATTGTTGTCTCCTACTACCCGTAGCAGCCAGCCCCTGATGCCTGATTTTCCGAACCAGAACCAAACGCCTTATATTGAATCTCTCTAGTATGTAAAGCAGATCTGACATCTTCCAAAGATAAACTATCTTTCCCGGCAATAAAAGAATCCACAAAATTCTCATATGACTGTGGCAAAGATACTAAAAATTAAGGAAGCATCCTCAGCATCTACTTTAACATCAATATTCAGCAGATCTAACAAGATAGTATTGAGTTGATCTAGATGATTCCTGAGAGACATACCTTTCTCCATACGCAAACTGAACAGACGTTGCTTCAGATGCAACTTTTTGGTCAAAGACTTTGTCATGTATAGACTTTCAAGCTTCAACCACAAGACCACAACAGTCTTCTCAACAACAACCTCGGTGATATGTCATCAGCCAATCAAAGCAAGATTGTAGAGTGAGCTTTCTCCTCCAAAATACTCCACTCTTCTTCATGTCTGCTTTTTTTCTTTGTTTTTTCAGACAACGGTGCCCACAACCCCTATTGTTTCAACAATGGTCTTGTCAAAACAGATGCGTGCAATCGATAATCTAGATCAAACCAAACGAACACGAATTTAATGTGGTTCACTAACACAATGTGTGCTAGCTAATCCACGGGCAGGGAAAACAAATTTCACTAATTTGAGGAGAGTACATGTTAGAAACCAAATTTTGGAACGGACAAACCAAACAAACTAACATAACTGACCTTACAATATATTAGAGTGATAAAGAGTATTTATAGAACTCTTCTCCTAATCCCAAACAGAAAACCAAACACCTTTTCCCAAACATACAAGGAAAAGGTCTAAACAAACCGCAAACACAAATTCATATCAAATTCAAGGGGAATGGATCAGGTCAGTAACCTTATGGTGAGTAACTATGAGTAACCCGCTCACATCAGCATGACATCAGCATCCTCTCTCTCCTGGAAAGTCTTTAATTTTCCCCTCCTTAATCTTTGACGGACGATTTCTCACTCGTTTTAAGTCGAAATTTAATTTTTTTTGCACAATTAGATCAGATTAATTGTGCTCTTCAAAATGATATCCACTTTGATATATTTTTCGAACAAAAAAAATTGAGCCATTTTATACCAGTCTATACCATATGGTATTGACTGGTATTGAAATAAGAGCATACCTATGGTTTGAAAAGCGTACCATGGTGGTATGACACAAACCAAAACTGTAGGATGGTTGAATACATGATAGTAGAAGTATATTAATTGTCATTTACGACTTTTAACATTGTATACCATAAGATACCACCCCGTACCAGGGTGGTATTGTATGGTATTGTGTGGTATTTTTTTGTCTTGTAATTTGTTCACCCAGAAATTTGTATATCCAATAGATCATGATGAACTCGTCCCTGCTGTGCAAACGTTTTCAAAAACGAATTAAAAACGAAGAAGATACCATATGGTATGCAGTTGGTACCGAGAGGCCATAATTTTTTTTTCCTCAAAAAATATTAAAAATTGATCTCATTTTGTAGAGCACGATGAACTTGTTCCATCTGTGCAAAAAAAAAATTAAAATCCGAGTTAAAACGAAAAAGATATGAGTCAATTAAGAAAGCTAGTGAAAATAAAAATGATCTTTAATTCTCCATCCTTAGATCTGGATTTTCTAAATGAAGGGTTCAAATTTGGTTATTGATGAGTGCATAACCCATGGTTATGCACCCTAACTTGAGCCAAATTCAAGTCATATTCTAACAGGATTGTAGTTAAATAACATGTTTGGATTAAGTATAGGTTTTTATTGGAACAACTCAAAATTAAAATTATACCCAAATCCAATTATTCTCCCCCCACTCTTATTCGGCTATTCCTCTCCTCCGTAACTTCTTCTTCCCCCATCATTTCCTCTTCTTCACCGTTTCACTTTCACTGCACCATATTCTTTCTTCCATTGGCAACGAGAATTACCAGCAATTGCTTTCAGAGATGCTCGACCGCTAAATCGTTGGAGTGACGACGGAGCTAGATCTATGGTGACTAGGATCCTTTTCAATGACTTGCCATCGCACCCCTGTCGATCAAAGGGAGGGAGATCGTGACCCAGACCCTCGATGACGGTTCCTAATTGGTCGATAGCGGCTCTCCGACCTTCCTCTATGCGATTCGCCGCCCTTCTCTAGAGACCCCAGATCTGTCTCTCTATGATTCACCCTGATTCAATTCGAACTTCTTCTCTATGGTTTGATGCATCGTCGCCAGGGACCCAAATCTATCTCTTTGTGATTCGCCCTGAGTTCTGACCTTCTCTATGGTTCAATGGCCCTTCGCTTGAGATCCTAGATCGATTCTCCTCTTTGTGTTCGCCCTCCGGGCCAACCTTCTTGGTAATCTACCGTCTTCGAGCAACAGAAGTTGAGGGAGAGAAATCAACGGTGTTGATTAGGATGAGGTCGAAGGAATTGAGGAGATTTTTCTATAAATAGCACCTTTAAAAAAATTTACAAAACTAGCACCCTCCCAAAAATATTTACAAAACTAGCACCCTTTTTATTGACCGCACCCTTGTAATGCGTTTTACATATAAACTGCATCCTCCAGGTGCGTTTTATATGTAAACCGCACCTGGAGGGTGCGTTCTATTCTGGTGGGCCTAAACCGCACCTTGGCCATGCGTTTTCATGTCTAGCCTACATAAAATGCATGGCCGAGGTGCGGTTTAGGCCTGACCTACCTAAACCGCACCTTAGTGATGCGGTTTATTCCTCTAAGAACAAACCGCATCTCTAAGGTGCGGTTTGACCATGTAGACCGCACCCCCCAAGTGCGGTTTACGTGTCAATAATTTTCCGACACCTGACACAGCCATGCAGAGAATTATGGACGTAGGCCTGCATGCAGACTAAAACCGCACCCTAGAGGTGCGGTTTTCACAATTTTTTCCCCTATATAAGACTTGCCGGAAAACCTCTACTCTTCACACCTCTCATTCTCTCTTTCATTTTTCTGTTGTATATCTATATTTATTTAGTGTGTTTGCCATTAAGATTAACTCGTAAGTTTATTTTGTGTTACTTTTTATGCCATTAAGATTAACTCGTAAGTTTATTTTGTGTTACTTTTTATGCCATTAACATTAACTCGTAACTTTATTTTGTGTTACTTTTTATGCCATTAACATTAACTCGTAACTTTATTTTGTGTTACTTTTTATTGTTATTTGTGATTTGTGATTTTTATGATATTAACTAAACTACGGTTTGTTTGTGTGCAGATGGCATTCCGTCAGTTAACGCTTGGCTTACGGTGGAATGGTTACACGGAAGAGACCGGAAAGGGGGCCACCTACGTCGGTGGCAATTTTCAGAAAATAACGGTCGGTACCAGACCGAAGCTTGAAGACCTCCATCAAATATGCACTGACGTTACTTGCATGGATGGCACGAGAAGAGTAGATCGTATGGTGTACCGATACCCAAACAGAGCAACTGGGTCATTGTGGCATGAGGAATATACCATAACCACTCAAGATGACGTAGATTCCATGCTCGTATTCTTGAGGTCCAACAAATTGGCCAAAGCCGAGATGTTCGTTTACACCGAGCCAGCCTAGTGTTGGAGGTCATTCTGGACACGGTCAAACATCTGGTATCCATGGTGGAGGTGAATTATATGACGATCATCCCTACCAAAGTTACCATGATCCTCATTCCTATTTTTAGTACCAAGATGGAGGGCAAGGTGCAGGCCATCATCAA